TAGATAGATAGATAGATAGATAGATAGATAGATAGATAGATAGATAGATAGATAGATAGATAGATAGATAGATAGATAGATAGATAGATAGATAAGGTAAGATTAGGTAAATGCCGAGCCTTGCCGTTTATGTGTCAGCAGCCCTCAGCCTTAAAACTGTTGCTGACCCCTAGCTTATGCCAAGTTACTGCCATCGATCAAAGCTACAAAAATATATATACATGATGTAGCTCTGATCTCATCGCTTAGAACACCCAAGAATTCATTGTGGTCAGAACACTTTAGTATTTTGTCATAATCTGTCAACCACAATATTTTCCCAACACATCATAGTGAGAAAAATAAGGCCAACATCACAATGCACCCATTAGTTCTCCACATAGAGCTATAGGAGATTCTTCTAGAGAGCCTTACCCATTCTCTGCTAATGATTGCTGCGTCATTTTTTTCTTGTCAGCATTAGAATGACACAGGCTGCCAACGAATTACAATGACAACAGATGAGGTGTAAATAGCAATTCTGCTCCGTCTTGTGCAATCTGTCGGCAACATAAAGCAATGTGTAGAAACGGACATGTAAATCTGTATGTATCTAATCAGAAGATTCCTATGCTGATACAGTGACAACATCATGGTGATGTCTGTAAACAAAGATAAGGACATTCAGTTGTTGCTGAGATCATAAACACTACAACAACCTTTTTGCGCACAATGTTTTTGTTTTGAGAAATACATTTATAGTTTGGAAATAATGAGGATTGATTAAATCCTAAAATAATCATAATATTAAAGTTCTTTGAGCAATTATATTGAGGACACGATGGTAATGAGATATCACTGTGGTCTTTAAGGCCTCCTTTCTCTGCTTCTCAGAAATGAGAAGCTGGAACCTCAAAGGGGTAGAAGAAACCCAAGCCCCCAGGGAGATGTATGCTTTTTTCACAGTGAACGCTATGGCTCTAGAGTGCAAACCTACATCTCATTTCCTTGCTGCCTTCAATTTTTCATTATCAACTCGCTCTGTCTTGTTCTCTCCTGCTCATCCTCCATCTCCTCTTGCTTTTCTGTCTCCCCTATCAGCTCCACAGTGGCCTTCGCCCACTCAAAGCTTAGAGCAATGTGTGTGGGAGACTGCTTGTGTGACTAAAGCAATCAAACACACATGCGCACATAGGTGCAGGCCCATGCACAAACACCCATGTATTACATGCAGGCAAAAGCCGCATTTAAATTCAAATGCAGTCGAGCTTACAAAGATACGAAACAAATGTACAAATGGCTGCATAAAATACTTCTATAGTTTTTCACCTCAATGCGTTCAGCATCTACTTAGAACAGTAGGGTGAGGTCGGCAGGTTTGCTTCTGTATCGACTGAAAATGCTTCTCTATATTATTCAGAGTTGATAGCAAGGTAATTAATGCATACAGCTTTCTTCATGTATATTTAATATTGTGCTACTTATGGATTTAGCAGGCATGTGAAAGTAAACAAAGCATTAATAGATCAAGAGAAGTGGTCTCAAATCAAATGTCTACAGCACTAAACCTTTAACGTAATTTAAGCTAATTATAAAACGATTTTAACAAAATGATAAAAATGTGTTTTATTGCATCCTATTTTATGTAATCTTTATTAAATACAGTATGCATTGGCAAGAACTGTCTTAAAACGGAGGTTTAAATTTAATAGGAATTCCTAAAACCCTGAAAATGGAAAGAGTTAGATTCTTTTTGTTTTTTTGTTTTAATGTGGTGTGCAGGTCAAAAAACATTCCTTATGTCTCTAATGCTGAAAAAAAATGTATAATAAATACATTTAAACAATAAATGTAAACATTTTTGTTAAGGAAGATTTGCGTCATAGCCTGCAACATAAGTTTCAGCGCGGCACAGTGCCAGGCAGGTGGCTTTTGTAAACCAAGCAGTGGGCGTGTATCGCGCCATGGATCCCAAAGGTGAAAAAAGGAATATAGCTGATGAAAACAGAGGATTAAAAGAAGAATGGATCGAATCATTTGCTTTCATTACCAATGCGGAAGAATTGCCTGCATGTTTGCTTTGTAATGAAAAGTTGTCAACTAAAAAGAGTCATTATGAAAGGCATTTCCAGGGAAGGCAGGCTAAATTTGCAGCCGAAGTCTAAATAAGTAATTTTTTCTTAAAATAAGTGCATTTTTTCTTAATTTGAGGAGGTAAGTGAGACACTTTGCCAATGGAATAAGACAATTTACATCGAAAATAAGAAATAACACTTGCATTGTCTTATTTCAAGTACATATTATTGAATTATCTTATTCTAAGAGTTAAAATACTAATTTCATTGGCAAATCATCTTATTTACCTTCTCAAATTAAGGGTAAATACACTTAATTTAAGAAATGTTTTACTTATTTCTAGATCGTTTTTGCAGTGTACCTCATGCAGCTTTCCTGGCAAACACGTATTTTCTTCCATTATGTACAGGTACAATGAAAAAAAAAAAAAAATCTGTCAAAAAAAACTGCCATGCTGTTTTTTGTTTTTTTTAATCTAATATATCTACAGTATGTAAATGAAAAAAATATTTTTTGTGGGTTCAGACAGGAAGAAATAAAACCCAATTCCAGAATGATGCAGTCTATAAAGTGCCTTCCTATCATATGCCCCTCTGCACACACAGTCATGGAAAAAAGAAGTGTAATGACTTTAGAACTAGGGTGAAGTTTTCCACTATCTTAGTATTAGTGAGGACACAGTCAGCGGCAAGCTGGATTAACTGCAGCTGTTTGATCAACTTTTCAATCAGATCTGTGAAGACACCATTGCAGTGATCAGTTTTACTACAGATAAACAGTTTCTTTTTAAGTTCCTCTTGAGATACTAGTCCTTCATTGCTGGAGATGTTCTTCATGTGATAGAAGGACGGCTTTGTTACTGTCTTTATGTTCTGGTCTGAGTCCAACACTTCTATATAAACTGAGGCTGAATGCTAACATTTGATTCCTCTTCCTTTGGTAAAAAAAATTATTAGTTAAGTTCTGATTCAGATGAAGGAAATATTGGCACAGCCATGCACTGAGTGATTATCATAGTAACCTCTGCATATCTCAATATCTTATTGAGAAGGGAAAATATGATGGAGGGATTTTAAATCATTTATAGATGGTATCCTTTTAAACTGCTTAGTCCCAAAATCACATTTATCATACACTGCAAAAAATGAAAGTCTAAATAAGAGCATTTTATCTTAACTTGAGGAGTTAAGTGAGACACTTTGCCAATGGAATAAGACAATTTACATTGAAAATAAGAAATAACAATTGCATTGTCTTATTTCAAGTACATATTATTGAATTATCTTATTTTAGGAGTTAAAATACTCATTGGCAAATCATCTTATTTATCTTCTCAAATTAAGGGCCAATACGTTACTTATTTCTACAACATTTTTGCAGTGTACAAGCACATGACTTTTATATGTTAGGTGCAACATCCCTTTCAATTATTAACTTAATCCACTTTATAATTTCCATATGCATAAATCAGCAGTGCCAACAAAGATCTGCCTCCCATTCTACTTTTAGAAATTTTAGGAACCACTAGTAAACCTGCAGATTGAGAGGGAAGTGCACTGTTAGAAACATAAGGAACAATCAGATCTCTGATCTAAGAGGGAGCTTGGCCATTT